TGGCACAAATCAACCTGCCAGACTACAATTATAACCGAGACTGCTCGCAGTAGGTTGAACATGGTCGTTTTTTTTTGTGTGTTTCACATAAATGGATGGATGGATGGATGGATGGATGGATGGATGGATGGATGGATGGATGGATGGATTAATGGATGGATGGATAGATGGATGGATGGATGGATGGATGGATGGATGGATGGATGTTTTACCAGTCATTGTTAGTTGAGTGTCGCTTACAGGACGTTGCAGAACCAACTTCAGAATGTTTAGCCTGTTGTGGGTTTTCCAGGCAAATTTTACGTGAAGTAGTTTGCTATCTTCCTAAACGGTCGGCTCTTGGTACCATTGTAACCAACACAAGACAAATCGTCCGCAGCAGGGATCGAACCCGCCACCCCGACATTACGAAGCGCGTTCGCAACGCCAAAACCACAGATGCCAACCATGTATAAATATTTGCTCTAAAAGTTTTTGTTCACCTTTTTTTTTTTTTTAAATCTTCACATACCCATTGGGTCCGAGGCATAAAAAGGGTATTTTCCTTTACTTATTTCGCTTGCCTGTGGATCTGAAAGCATGAGTTTAAATCCGAGCTGAACCGGACATTTTTGTAAAAATGACTCTTACTCCTAGGTCGATCCAGCATTAAATGCGTATCAGGTAAAGTCATGGGAAGTAAAGGCGGCTGGTATGATGTTGATTTGTCTATAGCCCAGTGTGCCCATTTTGCCTGAAAGTGTGGTGAAGTGCCCTTTTATTGAATCTACTTTTACTTAATTATTTCATTTGACTTACTGGGTTTCAGGAACTGAAGAGTGGAACACAAAACAGATCACAGGCAAGGACAAGAACGAAAACGACACAGTGAAATACGATACAACAAACACTGGGAGACTGAGGACCATTGCCATTGTCGCGTCCTGGGTGTCTGGTTTGTTCTCGCTCATTACAGGCGTGACAGCCATTGGTTGGTGGAGCACATTTATCGCCATCTTCTTTAGTGTCATTAGCTCAGTTTTGTTTATTATCACCCTTGTTATCATCATCATCATCAAGTGCCTTGCCAGCTGGCGTAGGCGTTCATGTATCTCCGCAGATCTCGGACTTTAGTGTTCTGGAACATTTCACTGTCTTAAACCATCCACCATCTTTCTCTTGGTCTGCCTCTCCCTTTTCTACCAGTGATATTTCCAGTCGTCACGATATTTTTCAGTGCTCCGTTTCTCATCACAAGGCCAAAGAATTGAGTGTGTTTCCTTCTCATTGTTGTATATTATGTTCTACTTTCATCAGCCATTTCCAGGCAATCATTGTTAGTTATTCTGGTAGTCCAAGGTATTCGCAACATTCTTCCCAAAAACCTCATCTCAGTTGCCTTCAAACTCTTCTCAGTTTGTTTGCTCACATTCGAAGATTCACTACGATACAACAGAAGAGGCTCGATATAACATTTCAGTATTCGTTTTCTGATGTTTAATGGGAGGGATTTATTACTTAAGATACTTAAGATACTTTTCATCTTCTGTTATGCTGCCTTTGCCTGGCTCTTAATTTCTGTCACAAAATGTCCATCTGATATTTTGATTGTCCCCAAATACTTGAATTTATTGACTTGGTTAAGCACTTTCCCTTCTATTTATATGTCACATTTTAGATTTATCTACTTTTTTAATATAACCAATGATACTGTATTCTTGACATTCAAGGGAAGTCCCCTTGTTTTGTACTCTCTAGTACAACAATGTCTAATAGTTGTTGTACGTCTTCTGCAAGAATACTTCAACAAAAAGGAGCTGGGGGGGGGGAGGAGGGGGGGGGTGAAGTGACCAGTATGTTGTAAGCCTTCTGCGTTTTCCGCTGTCAATACTGTATCATTGTATCATCTGAATAACAAAGATTGTTTATATTGTAACCTTCAACTAGTATTCCTGGTCTGCTGATATAATCAGCTTCATAAACACCATTACCCTTACATTCGCAGTCGTCATCATCATCCTCATTATTCATAGTTATCATCATCATCATCACGATTACAGTCATCATCATTATTATAATAATAATTATCACCATCACCTGTATAATAATCATCAAAATTATTATTATTATTATAGTCATCGATATCATCATTACATCGCTATTATCATTACAGTCATCATCATTATTATAATCATTTCATCATCCTTATTATCATAATCATCGTCACCATCATCACTATAAGTATTGCCATGACCAATATCATTTGATAATCATTATCATCACCGTCATTATTGTAATAATCATCATTATCACCATCATCATTATAATTATCATCGTCACCATCATCATTGTAATCACTATCATCCCCATCATTATTATAAACATTATCCTCATGAACAACATTAATAATATTATAGTCATCACCACCATCATTATAATCAACATCGTCATTATAATCTACAGTCATCACCATCATTATTACAATCATTATCGTCATTATAATCTTCATAATCATCACCATCATCATTACAATTATCATCATCATCATTTTTACAATTGTCATCATCATCATCATCACTATCATTCTTTTAATCATCATCAATATCATCATCATTATCATTATTATCATCATCGTCACCATATCTATTATTAATTATTATTTGCAATCAAGCTATTGGGGTCAGTTTCATGTGATCCCCTCCAGTCAATAAACTTTGCAATAGCTGACACTTGCTGGATGTTTCTGTCTCCACAGTTTTGGGACAGATCTTTCACAGCCAGTCCCTATTCGGGTACGGGGTGAGTATTTTGCCTGCATCTCACGACAGACTCACGCATGTGCCATATAGCTTGTTAAATTAGACAGTGTTGTGTTATCTTGTCAAATTAAACAGTGTTGTGTTATCTTGTCAAATTAGACAGTGTTGTGTAATCTTGTCAAATTAGACAGTGTTGTGTTATCTTGTCAAATTAGACAGTGTTGTGTAATCTTGTCAAATTAGACAGTGTTGTGTTATCTTGTCAAATTAGACAGTGTTGTGTTATCTTGTCAAATTAGACAGTGTTGTGTTATCTTGTCAAGTTAGACAGTGTTGTGTTGTTGCAAGCAGCAGACGTGTCTCATTCAACGTCATAATCATTCAGTCAAATCTGACCAGGTTTTTGAATTTGAAATAATCTCCGTCAACAGTGTTCTTTTATGCTGTTCTTTTTTTTTTTTTTTATTTCCTAATGAACTTTCGACAGTGATTCATTTTCGCAGTCATTTTCTTCATCAGCAGGCTCACTGGGTGTTTGGTTTGGTAGTTGTTGTGTCTGTCGGAATGTCTGTCTGTCTTTCGTTTATTCTTTATTGTTTTTATTTGTTTTGTTTTTTGTTTCCTTCTGGCTATCTTTCTCTTTGCCTTTGTTTATGTTTCTTTGTGGGTTTTTATGTGTTTCTTTCTAGTTTTCTGTTTTAGTGTGTTTTTATTTGTTTGTTATTTTGGTTCTTTCATTCACCCTATCAACCTGCCTTTGTATGTTTGTATCATTCTTTCATTCTATATTTTTGTCTTTGTTTGTATATTTCTTTCTTTCTTTTATTTCTTTTGTTGTCTTTTTGTTCGTCTGATTGTTTGCCTCTTTCTTTCTTTCTTTCTTTCTTTCTTTCTTTCTTTCTTTCTTTCTTTCTTTTCTTTCCTCTTTTCTTCTTTTTTCTTTCTTTCTTTTCTTTCTTTCTTTCTTCTTTCTTTTTCTTTCTTTCTTTCTTTCTTTCTTTCTTTCTTTCTTTCTTTCTTTTCTTTCTTTCTTTCTTTTCTTTCTTTCTTTCTTTCTTTCTTTCTTTTCTTTCTTTCTTTTCTTTCTTTCTTTCTTTTTCTTTCTTTCTTTCTTTCTTTCTTTCTTTTTCCTTTCTTTTCTTTCTTTCTTTCTTTCTTTCTTTCTTTCTTTCTTTCTTTCTTTTTCTTTCTTCTTTCTTTCTTTCTTTCTCTTTCTTTCTTTCTTTCTTTCTTTCTTTCTTTCTGCTTCTCTGTCTCCCTGTCTATATATCCATGCATCCTATGATGATATAGTTTGTATCATGTCGCATACCTTCCTACCATCACACTTGTTAAAGTTTTAACTTCATCAAACTAGTTTCCCTCGGCACCTTTAGCCTGCCATCTGTTGACAAGGACATGTTGTCTTCAGGGGCGCCGACACAAATAAAACTTGAGATGGGTGCGGTTAGTCACCTTAGTAATTTTCTACTGGGATCAAGAGGTTTAAAAAAAAATGCATGGTAGTAGTAGTAGTAGTAGTAGTAGTAGTAGTAGTAGTAGTAGTAGTAGTAGTAGTAGTAGTAGTAGTAGTAGTAGTAGTAGTATTAGTAGTAGTAGTAGTAGTAGTAGTAGTAGTAGTAGTAGTAGTAGTAGTAGTAGTAGTAGTAGTAGTAGTAGTAGTAGTAGTAGTAGTAGTAGTAGTAATAATAATAATAATAATAATGATAATAATAATAATAATAATAATAATAATAATAATAATAATAATAATAATAATAATAATAATCCCCCGTGTGGGTTCCGGGGCCCCATTGTGGGGAAAACAAGAATAGACCTACTGCCTCCCCAAAAGCATGTATTAAGAGTCGACTAATTGGCGAGCTTCCTTTGAAGTCGGAGTGCATCTGCCGGAGAGGCAAGGAACCAACAGTCTGTATTCAAGAGAATGAGATCTGTAAAACTGATGCACACGCAACACTCAGGTTCTGGAGCAGGACTGCAGTTCAGTAGTGGACGAGCAACCAGAACTTTCCGCCAGAGTTTACAGCTGGTGAACGCGAAGAAGAAGAAGAAGAAGAAGAAGAAGATAATAATAATAATATGACCATACATATTATTATCAAAGCAATATTTCCCCGCTGTAAAGTTTAAAAAAAGACATAAGCAATAGATTGCACAATTTATTGCCTGGCGTATTTCGCTGTATCTCGTCAGGTGCATACTACAGTAACAATTACATAAAAAAGCAAATTTATATGCTTCATTTATATAATTGTTTCTTTAGTCTACATGTGACGAGATACAGAGAAATACGTCAGTCAATAAATTGTGGAATCTTTTGTTTGTGTCTTTTTGTTCAAATATAATTACATAATTAACATCATAGGAGTCGATGTGGTGTAGCGTCTAGATGCTGGCCTGCGGATTGGAGGGTCGTGGGTTCCCAACGGTACCGGACTTTAAAAAAAAATCAACTTAGTTCGACCCAGCGTTGAATGGGTACCATGTTGGGTCTTAGGAACACCCATGTTGAGTCTTAGGAAGACCCATGTTGAGTCTTAGGAACACCCATGTTGAGTCTTAGGAACACCCATGTTGAGTCTTAGGAACACCCATGTTAAGTCTTAGGAACACCCATGTTGAGTCTTAGGGACACCCATGTTGAGTCTTAGGAACACCCATGTTAAGTCTTAGGAACACCCATTTTGAGTCTTAGGGACACCCATGTTGAGTCTTAGGGACACCCATGTTGGGTCTTAGGGACACCCATGTTGAGTCTTAGGAACACCCATGTTGAGTCTTAGGAACACCCATGTTGGGTCTTAGGGACACCCATGTTGAGTCTTAGGAACACCCATGTTGGGTCTTAGGGACACCCATGTTGAGTCTTAGGAACACCCATGTTGAGTCTTAGGAACACCCATGTTAAGTCTTAGGAAAACCCATGTTAAGTCTTAGGAACACTGTAAAATTGAATTTACAATTGTGGGGGGGGGGGGGAGAGGTATTAGCACCTCTATAAATGTTTTTTTCTTAGAGACGGGCTGATCCTTGTGATTCTTCTTAGGGGGAAGGTCCTAAGCCAAACCCCCCCCCCCCCCAACCCCCACTCTAGAATTCAGCACCTCTGACTGTATACATATACATACATACATATAAAACATTAGTTGGGAAGACATATGCAACATTTTGCTAACCCACCTAGTCCATGTGCACTGTAGCGAACTTTGACCTGCCGGCAACATGCAGTAACTATAAATACATCTGGCACTAAGAAGATACAGCTCTAAGCAGACTGGAATGTCTTATCTGTCCTAATTATAGACAGAAGTATGTGAATGAGGTTATCTGTTTAAGGATCTGATGATGGTAGTTAGGAAACGTTGAGACCGCTCTAAATACGAATTAAGTTATAGGAAGTAAAAAAAAAAAAACTTTATTGTTTTACTGATGTCAAATTGTTTCAGGTAAAAAAAAAAAGATTTCACTGTCTATTGTTTAGATTAACGGAGCCGGCTTATCTTCAAAATTGGCCTTGACTCCCAGGTCAACCAGCTTTAAATGGAAAATTCATAGGAAGTAAACACGGCCGGTGTGACATTGCTCAAATCAGTCGCCTACTGGTCTATACAACATAGATCTAGCAATATATGGCCCAATACGCCTTAGGGTGTCTAAAAGGGTCCTTTACTTGACTATTGTTTAAATTCTGAAATGAATAAGATTAGTACATGCATCTGTTAAGTACCTATGCAAATTTTTACTACGAAGACAGAGACAGTGGTGATGGGAAGACAGAAATGAACATCAGTCCCAATAGTGCTCTTGACAGAGTTCATCAACGAATGTTACATCTTGCCCCGACACTTTGGTGAGGTACAAAGTGGAAGAGAAGAATAAGAAGAAGGAGTACCTAGGGTTTCAAATGTTATAAAAAGGGGAGTTGAATGTTTTAGCGTGGGCATTTTAGAGATCCCAAGGTGTCGTGAAAGAAGCTAGGAAATTGTGTGCTCTGTGCAGCGCTATGCAAAAAGACAAGTAACTATATGGGAAGCTAGCCGATGCAATGAATTTGAATGTGTTATCTTAAATGATTCTTCACATTAGAAGTAGAGGTCCATAATTAGGTGTGACGAACATGTAGAAACACGACAAAAGGCAGTCAAAAAGTGGATGAACCACCAGGACCTTCTGCTGGATTTTTTAGCCGGCGAGCTAAACAACAAACAAACAAACAAACAAACAAACAAACAAACAAACAAACATACATACATTGATTGTAATGATGGATGTTGTTGCAGTTGGACGGAGTGCTGGACAGCCTGTCCTCTATAGTCGTTCTGTGGAGGTTCTATGATTCCTCGTCGTCTACGAAAACAGAGGCACGAGAAAGGAAGTATGTATATTTGGCTTCTTTTTCGTATCCTTCTTCTTCTTTCCCACTATCATCATCATCATCATCATCATCATCATCATCATCATCAACATCCTTATCTTCTTCTTCTTCTTCTTCTTCTTCTTCTTCTTCTTCTTCTTCTTATTGTTCTATATTTGAGAGAGAGAGAGAGAGAGAGAGAGAGAGAGAGAGAGAGAGAGATGTAACTTTGGTTTTATGTTACACATAATTAATTTGTTCTTCAAACATAATTGTATCTATAGAAAGTCACTTTACCTAACAGATTAGCCCAGTAGGTACAGCCGGTAAGACGGTCCCGATTGCACTAGGCATGCGATCCTAAACCCTTAGGCTCACGATTTCACGTTCTACTGGCAAACTGGTTGTATGTTAATAATTAATTTGTTCTCTAACTTAAAAAACTACTAAAAACTGGCAACTGCCAGAGAGAGAGATAGAGAGAGGATGAGAGAGACAGAGAGAGAGAGAGAAGAGAGAGAGAGAGAGATGTACTGCCTTTATTGTACCTCTTTTGCTGTGTAGGCAGGAGCGGGAGGGGAGGGGGGCAGTCTTTGAGCCTAAGGATTTACAGCCGCATGGCTAGTGCCTTCGCCACGACTGTACAGGGCAGGATTTTATTTTGTCTCTGACAGAAAAAATCCACAGCTGTACCGAGGATTCGAACTCGGTTGACTGTCCAGCATCCTAACAGTTCGGCCAGCCGCTCCTCCCATGTCCTACACTATTCAATATTTTTGTAAACACAAACAGTAAAGACTGAAAAATAAACTACATATTCATTTTACTGTGGTAACAACCTCACATTGTTTTTCTACATCTATTCCAGGGCCTGTATTGTTGTCTCCATACTGTTCTTCGTCTCTGCCTTCTCCCTGGTTTTCAAATCCGCCAACGCCATTGTCCAGAACACGCAGGCAGCAGACCATGATGAAAGTATGGTAGGTAGAGTGACTTGTTTTAATTGATTCAACGTTACTCGTTTATCGCTAGTGAAGAAGTGATCTCAAAATAGCAACGGTATATGACTGTGAGTACAAAGAAGATCGATGAGTCCAATTTCAGCTAGGAGAAGTTCCTGGATAGTGTGGGTAATTGATGAAAGCGAGAGTAGATATACCAGATGGTTTTATTTCGTCTGCATTCATTTCTCTGCCAGTGCAACTTCCCTACCTGGCAAACAGCTAGCGTGACGATTGTTCGCCACCCAGACCGGCCTTGTTTGCATCTGAATAAATTTTTCTGTCCTAATGCCAAACGATTTAGGAGCGGTCATAAGAATGTAACTTATATTATATGCTTATGCTTAACTACTTTTCGTCCTTCTTAGGACGTTATTTTTTGTTATTTGAAGCCCCACTCTGGCTTTTGCCAGGGGCCGCAATATAGGCAGGTCATCATTATGGCCAAATGTCTGAACGCGGTTTCTGGGACCTCTCCACGGTGATCCACATCCGCATGGTGGCACTTTGTGTCATCGGGTGTTTATCGCTTGTGTGATGTCCTGGTGGGGTAAAAAATCCAATCCAATGTAACTTATTCAGTACCAATCAACTCACCGGTCTTCGTTGACTTCTCTTCACAGTATATCCTTTTGTGGGTTTGTGGTTAGTGAATTAAACTTAAGTTTTGTATCCTTTACAGGACGTTGCAGAACCAACCTTAGCATTGTTTGGCTGTTGTGTTTTTTTTCTGGGAAAATTAACGTCTAGTAGTTTGCCATTGCTTTATGTCGGCTTCTCAAAAGCACTGTTGAAACCAACGCAAGGCGCAAGGCCCGCAGCTGAGATCGAACCCGGCACCCTGGCATTAAAAAACGCGTTTGCAACGCCTAAGACACAGGCTCCGACTGGTGATCGGTTAGTGAATGAGTTCAAGAATTGCATCCTGGAGTATAAGGGTCTGAGATCTACATCCGGCGATTCACGTCTCTCTCTCTCTCTCTCTCTCTCTCTCTCTCTCTCTCTCTCTCTCTCTCTATCTATATATATATATATATATATATATATATATATATATATATATATATAAATCTTAGCGGCACAAAGGGTCAAATTATTCATTGTCATCTATTGATAAAACAAATTTATCAGCACGGAGCGCTCTCTTGAAAGAAGATGGAAGATGCGGAGATACAAATACAAGCAGGGCAACACAAAGCTGGAAAGCTCTAAACTACCATACTGGGATTCGAACTTGTAGTCTCCAAATGACGACACCGCCACTGTCCAGGAACGCGCGTGCTTCGAGGTGTGGACAACCAGAGCCGGTGAGAAAGGAGTCATCTTCAGATAAGTTAATCATGGGCCAAAGTCCAAGCAAATCGATTGATCCATCCATCGATCGATCAGTTTTCCTGCTTCCGAGTGCCAACTGAAGGTTTACCATACGATCCTGAGATTAAAACATAAACTCTGGATGGCAGACCAACAACAGACCAACCAACAACAGACCAACCAACAACAGACCAACCAACAACAGACCAACCAACAACAGACCAACCAACAACAGACCAACCAACAACAGACCAACCAGCAACAGACCAACCAACAACAACAGACCAACCAACAACAAACAGACCAACCAACAACAGACCAACCAACAACAGACCAACCAACAACAGACCAACCAACAACAGACCAACCAACAACAGAACAATCAGATAGCCAGTTCAACCTTCAAAGAAAGTTATAATTAGAGAACCCGTATCAGCTACATAATAATCCTTGCGTCCTTTTCGGGACGAAATATTTTGTACTTTGAAGCCCCACCCCGGCTTTTGGGACCTCTCCACGGTGATCCTCACCCACATGGTGGCGCTTTGTGTCATCGGGTGTTTATCGCTTGTTTGATGTTCTGGTGGGGTAGAAAGTTAGTCAATCAGCTGTATCAGCCAACCAGGTGTAAACTGCCCGAGTGAACTCCACTGGGAGTTAGAAAGGCAGCAGAAGAAGAAGAAGAATATGGTAAGTAAAGCAGTCAACCATTTTCTCATGCAAGTGAACCCGGCTCTCTAGCGTAGTTGGCTAAACCGGATTACGCGGAGACCGGGTGACGAACTCCTTGTGGTTCGGGTTCACTTCCCAGGGTAGGCAGAAAAGCCACATTTCTCCCAGATTTACGGTATTTACAATGGAATCAAGGCCGAAAGGTTGCGATATCCATAATACCGAGCCTAAGGGTTAACAACTCATGGCTTCTGGATATTACAACAAACAAACAAACAACTCATGCAAGTGGCGTACTTGGCATATGGTGCTAGAACTTTTTTTATACACCACTCAGCACTCAGTGGGTAATATGGTAAACTTTACGCCAGCCACATTTACTTCCCACGATTTTATGTGTTATCAATTTTAGGCAGAGTCGATGAATCTAATTTCTTGATATGTAATATTTCAGCTGAATGGGAGATTACTCACAGTGATATTTTTTTCACTGTGCGGAGTTATTGCACTTGCTATAGCAACACTCAAAGTGTACGTGGGTTGGAAGCTTCACAGCCACGTGCTTATCATAGACAGTAAGTATGGACAAAAACATGGACATAACATTAACGATATATCTAATGTTTCTGTCCAGTGTGAGCTCCATTATGATGGAGGAAAATAATAAAGCAAGCCCCTTCCTTCCAACAAATATTATACATATATATATATATAATAAGCAGACAATGTATTGATCGGCACTCATAGAAAGAAGCTGAAATATAGAGGCACACACTAGACACCATACAATCGAAAGCTGTTATTACCGTACCGGGAAATGAACCTGTCACGTCAAATGGCATGTGCGCCTCGCTATGGAAACAAGCGTACTAAGAACATGACCAATTAGAAACCGCTAATAAAATAAGGTGATTGACATGTCCCCCAACAAGCATGTCGACTAGGGCAACTAATAAACTGAGTTTCCTTCAAAGTCGGAGGGCATCTGTTTGGGGGGGGGGGGGGGGGGGGGCAACCAACCTCGAGGATTGAAACAAAAATCCAGCGTGACGATCGGCACAGGCCCTGTCAGCTGCTCTGACTGAACTTCTAGGTGTTGTAATGACAGAAAGGACATTTAAGTGTCATTGCTGTAAGCAAGACTATTGACATTTTGTGCAATGAGTTCTTTTTTTTTTAAATCCTAGCTAAGAACGACAGTTCAGTTAAAGTTAACATTCAGAGTCTAAGGGATTGTAGCGGTTTATCTTATGTTGCTTGGCCTCTCTTCATGGAACGGCTAGCCACGTGTCGAGGGCATAGCACAAAGCACAAACTTCGTAATTCTGACTACGATCCGGAGGGATCGTAAAAACTGCACTCGTGGACTGAATAACCCGTCCGTGGAACGAAACCACTTCTTTCAGAGCGGGGACAAAAAGCTTGACCACTTCGCCACAAAGGAAGAACAACAGAGAGACAATCCTGATGAGCAGAAATGAACCAGGAACAGTCAGCCGATAGCTGAGAAATTTTGTGGAAGTTGTACAAACCTTTTTTTTTCCGTCTAAAACTCTTTCTTACTTATCTTTTTTCGTAATCTAGCCCATCATATCCGTATTGGAATTTACTTTTTTAGAGGCCCTGAGTTGAGTTGAGTTTTTCGGTCACAATATGTGTTATATTTCGCACTCCGTTGATAAAGGCTGTGATTGAAACATTTGGTTGTATTTGTGCGCATCTTTTCAATTTCCTCCGTTAAGCTTTCTACATTTGTATGTTGTATTTAGCACTTTTGTTTTAGAGAAGAATGAGAGCTGGGAAAAAAGTGTAATAAAGATGTCTTGATTTAAAATGCACTCACAATGAACATTAGTTACTTTAAAATTAGTTGCGTATACTTTACAGGACGTTGCAGAACCAACCCCAGCAATTTCTGGCTGTTGTGGGTTTTCTAGGCAAATTTACGTCCAGTAGTTTGCCATTGCTACTGGACGATCGGCTCTCGGTACCACGGTCGAAACCATCGAAAGACAAACAGTCCGCAGCAGGGATCGAACCCGGCACACCGGAATTACGAAGCGAGCTCGCACCGCCTAAGCCACAGACGCTGACACATTAGTTACTAATTGGTAAACATATAATTAGCCTTTTCTAGGTGCGTTATGGGCATGAGAAGAAACTGGAGGACATTGTGGCAACATCACAGATCGAGTGAGAGAAAGAATATGGGGCGGGGGGGGGGGGGGGGGGGGGGGGTTAAAAAGAAGGAGTATCATAGCCGAGATTTGTCAATTTCACATTATGACAGGATGGACAGTCTATTACAGTATCTTTTGCAAAGTCACCAATTCGTCTTGTCCATGTCCGATAACATCCGGTAATACGTGCAGCAGGAGAAACCAACCCTGATCCTCATGAACTCAGGTGGGCCCACTCTCTGAAAATGTCTAGGAGCTCGTGGGCCGAAGCATTTATCGACGAGAGATTACTTTTACTCCTGCTAAAACCCCTGTGGAGTTTCTTCTTACTTACATTGGTGGTACACACGAGAAAAGACGAACAAAAGATGAACGCCATAAGGCATGCACTTTAAGTATTAGAACTGATCATATTTGACTGAATGCTGACCTTGTATTTGCAGGTATCATCACTTACGTCGGTGCCGCCATCAGCTTTCTGGGGATTCTGGCCATGGAAATGTACACCGAGGACCAGGACGTCTGGTACCTTGACGCCATGTTTGGCCTTTTCTGTGGGACATTCCTCTTCTTGTTTGGACTCAAGTAAGTTTTGTGCAAGCTCTTTCAATGATAAGTAATCAGGCAAAGAAAGTTCCCACTTCACATCAAACGGGTCGTCAGACAGTTGTAAACAGGTTGCATGCCAAATTCAACAATTTTATACCTGACAGTTACTGAATTTGAGATTTGTAAAGCTAGTTACGACTTCTGAAACGCGTTGTAACCAACCAACCAACCAACCAACCAACCAACCAACCAACCAACCAACCAACCAACCAACCAACCAACCAACCAACTAACCAACCAACCAACCAAGCAACCAAGCAAGCAACCAACCAGCCAACCAGCCAACCAACCAACCAACCAACCAACCAACTAACTAACTAACTAACTAACTAACTAACTAACTAACTAACTAACTAACTAACTAACTCTAACTAACTAACTAACTAACTAACTAACTAACTAACTAACTAACTAACTAACTAACTAACTAACTAACTAACTAACTAACTAACTAACTAACTAACTAACTAACTAACTAACTAACTAACTAACTAACTAACTAACTAACTAACTAACTAACTAACTAACTAACTACTACTAACTAACTAACTAACTAACTAACTAACTAACTAACTAACTAACTAACTAACTAACTAACTAACTAACTAACATAACTAACTAACTAACTAACTAACTAACTAACTAACTAACTAACTAACTAACTAACTAACCACTTAACTAACTAACTAACTAACTAACTAACTAACTAACTAACTAACTAACTAACTAACTAACTAACTAACTAACTAACTAACTAACTAACTAACTAACTAACTAACTAACTAACTAACTAACTAACTAACTAACTAACTAACTAACTAACTAACTAACGGATGCATTCATAGAGTCAAATGTATTTACCAGAACATGACTCAAGAGTCCTTATTCCTGCCGCCGCGAATGTTTTGGATTCGAAAATATTCAGTTCAGGCCGGGGGTGCTGCTCCGATTATATTTACTGTTGTTTTTCTGTGCTAAGTAGTTTCATTTTTTAGGCGGTAGGCGTGTATGCCTGACCCTGTCTGTTTGTGCAAGCCACCCATGTCTGTCGTAGGCGAGCCTGATAGGTCTGCACCGAAGTGCAGTTTTATTATCATCTTCGACTTCATAATTGATTCAGGGAAAGTCTAGAAAGTAAAGGCTGTTGACTTGATGTTAACTTACAGGACCTAGTGGCGAGTGTAAACAGTAAGAACAGGTCGAGCTCACAAAATGTTTTCAATTAAACAGTCAGAACTTATTACATTATTGTGACGAACAGTGCGGTCGTAAAACGAACCACCGACCTTCAGAACGCGAGGCAAACAGCTTGACCACTTCGCCCCCCTCCCGCACCACCACCACTGACGAACCTCACCCGGCTGCATTGTTTGTTCACATCACGAGTGTCATTTTTAAGAAGGTCACCTGGTCGTCGTTGGAGCTATGATTTTCGTGGTTTGTTCGGCGTTCCGAGCAATATAGGATAAAATCCGGTGCAGTAAGGTCAGTCTCTTGGACTTTGACCTTTAACTTTAACCTCAAGTCCTGAATGTACTAGGATTATTGCTCTAGCTAGCCTGGTATCTTTCTTTAATATCATCGTCATCATCATCATCATCATATACCTGCCGACTAGCGTAGTCATTCATGCTACTCCACAGATCTCAGTCTCTTGTTCTCTATGCCACCGTCGAAGTCCATCCATCATCATCACTTTCGGTCTGCCTCTTCCTCTTCTATCATTGATCTTCCCAGTCGTTACAACATTTCCCAGGCCCCCCCCCCCAATCGCCACCCTCTCCAGCACATCGCCAAAGAACAGTACTTGCCTTCTCCTTATAGCTGTAGATATTGATCTACTTTCATTAGCTTCTTTTAGGCAATCTTCGTTAGTTACTCTCGCAGTCCAAGGGATTTTTAACATTCGAACGAGAAACCACATTTCCGTCTTCTCAGTTCTTTCTAATCCATGTTTCACTACCATACAGTAGTATATGATCTATATGACTTTTATTTAATAACGTCACCTAAAGTTTTTTCATGACAGTCTAGCTTTCAATTGTTTCTCCCCTAGGCTGCTCATTCAGTTGACCTGCTGTTATAAAGTGAAAGACGCCATCCTGGAAATTTCTCCTGGCACGCCATAAAGATTGCTCTCGTCCAATGAAATGCGATTTACTTTGTCACAGTCAAGGGGACATTATTCATGGATCCAGAAACAGTGACAAAACCTGCCACGAATACTCTCCCGTTGTTCTTTTTTGTTTTGTTTTGAGGGGTAATATATGAATGGGAAAACCGCCGTAGTTTAGAGGCGAGACGCTCGCTCACGTATCTAAAGGTCGGGGGTTCAGTTCCTGGCTGAACCAGACTCAAAAATGGCATTGGCTCCCCAGGCCAACCCAGCCTAAAATAGGTACAAATTTTGGGAAGTTATGGGAAGTAAAGGTGGCCGCCTTGCTGTTGACCACATTTCCCACCGAGTGTCGATTGATCTATTAAATTTACGTCTAGCCCTATATGCCCAATACGCCTGAAAGCGTGGAAAAGGGCCACTTACTTACCTTTTTTTTATAAATAAGTAAAGAAATTTGAAGAAATATCTAAAGAAGAAATGTGTGTGTGTGTGTGTGTGTGTGTGAAATGTAGATATTCCATTATATACGATGACCATGTCAATATTTATATTCAATAACGTTTTAACAAATCATTTCAAATCCTTCATACGTCAACCAATGGCAGAAGGCTAAGATTTCTCGAAACTTCCACGATTCGTCACCTGCGCCCGGAACTATGTATACAGAAAGAGATGGTTCTGTCTTTACGGCTGCCCTGGTAAAAACAGGCAGTCATGTTTGATTGTTGTTGAAATTGTTCTTTAGTTATGAAGGATTCACTAATTTGCTTTATTTATGTTATTGTTACCGTAGTAGGCACCTGACGAGATACAGCGAAATATGTCAGGCAATAAATTGTGCAATCTATTGTTTGCGTCTTCTTTGTTCAAATTTACAACGGGGAAATATTACTTTTGATAATGTTTCAGTGGATATAGTTCCCGTTTATATTGTCTCTTCTGAGCTGATGTATATTTTGGGCATCCTTGAAAATAAAGCACGGTCTTATATTATTTTTACCTTTGAAATTGCCTTAGTGTTTACTTTCAAAGGATCTGTTAGTTTCTTTCACTAAAATGAACATTTATTTAAGTACAAACAACAAGATATCCAACATTCTTTAACGTTCAAATTCTACATTTATGTCAAGCAGTGGTGGCTAAATATTCATTTCTAACCTATCACTTCTTGTCAGGCCGAAAGCTCTTCTCGAGAATCTTCTGCATTCAGTTCTAATCTGTATTTTATTGTTGATTGTGGTTCATATTCAGTTTCCTTGTAAAGTACAGGATGCCTGCGCTATACTAACCACATTACCCACCGAATGCCGATTGGTGTATAAAAATAGAAGTCTAGCCCTACATGCCCAGTACACCTGAACGTGTGCACAAAGATCGTTTACTACACTTTACATTTGGATATATTTAGTTTCTATGAAACTGTGTTACTGCAATCTTGATAGGGGTGATAATGATAAAGATAAAGATGGTGATAATGATTATGATGATGCTGATGATGATGATGATGATGAGGAGGAGGAGTGATGATGCTGATATCCGCAGTGAAAAAAATTGTATTTGTTTTACCGAATGCAATAATTGTATTATGTAAATAGTCACATGTTGTACTTATATTAAGTCACGTGGAAATAATAATAAAAACATTTGAAAACTCCTCGATCTGTTTGTTTGTACCACGTCTAGATTGTGAAGAGTTGTTTACCTCTGTGTGTGTGTAAGCGTGCGTGCGTACATGCGTGCGTGCGTACATGCGTGCGTGCGTGTGCGAGTGTGTGTGCCTATATGTGTGAGTGTGTGTGACAGAATTAACTCTTTCACTACTGAAATAAACCTCAATGTGAGACACCAATTAAGTAATATCCGTGATTAAAATTTAACCATGAATTACTTTTGACCTCGATAATATAAAAATGGCATTCTTCTTCTTTTTCGCGTTCATCAGCTGTAAATGCCAGCGGAAAGTTCTTGTTGTGCGTCCATTTCTGGACTGCAGTCCTGTTCCAGAACCTGAGTGTTGAGTGTGTATCCGTTTTACAGATCTGACTCATTTGTATGCAGACTGCTAGTCCCTTGCCTCTCAGGCAGATGCACTCCGACTTCAAAGGAAGCTACAGATTAGTCGACTCTTACAACATGCTTTTGGGTAGGCAGTGGGTCTATTCTTGTTTTCCCTATAATAGGGCCCCAGAACCCACAAGGGAAACAATGGTAGTGACTATCGAATAAGTCAGATTTCCTGGGTATATTCTGACCAAATAGAAAAGTAAGACAGCATATTATGCTAAGGAGGGAATTCAGCAGGTAGGATGATTCACATACACACATCACGCGTTGTGTGGGACTCAAAAGACATAAGTAAAACATAAGGGACATAATTACATTTTTTCTGAAGTCAGTATTTCCTGTATTGCGTCCCTTTCCATGCTTTTCAAAAATTATTTTGTTTTAATCTCTATTTTGCTTTCTTGGTGCGTGTGCGTTGTCTGTTAAATTTAATTTCTATTGTGTCTCACGGTCTGTGATTCTTTTCCTCTATTTTGTTCTTTTCTTTTCTCATAACATTATGTATAGCAAATTTACTATCAGTAAACGACTTTTGCTTCTCTTAACGACACACGCCAGAAGAAAATAGTTCAAGCCAAAGCACATGCAAAAGAAGAAGTAAAGATTAGCAATAGTCGTCGTCTCCTTGTGGGATTCAATGTTTTCTTATTTGAAGCCCCACCTTGGCTTTCTTCAAGGGCCCTGATTATGGCTGGGCCATAAATAAAGGGGTTTCTTTTGCCTCTCCGTGGGTGATCCTTATCCGCATGGTGGCACTTTGTGTCACTGGGTGTTTATCGCTTGTGTGATGTCCTGATGGGATACAACAGGAAAGAGAGAGAGAGAGAGAGAGAGAAAGAGAGAGAGAGAGAGAGAGAGAGAGAGAAAGAAAGAAAGAGAGAGAGAGAGAGAGAGAGAGAGGGAGAGAGAGAGAGAGGCAAAGGAAAGTTATCATTGTCAAACAGCGACGTGTGGTAACGAATTAAATCGATTTCATTTACATTTGATTTTCTTTTTGGTTTGCGGTCACCAGTGCGGATGTTTTAACCTAGTGTAGGAGCGGCGGTGTTACAGTTTGCTCACAGAATCAGCGGTTTAAGTCACATAATAGTAGGAATTCCGTCCACAACGATTTGGATGAATCGAGTCCATTGTCTAAACTGGAGTCGAAAATTAGATTGTAAGTTACATTATAATTAGCACTTGTCAAAGTTTGGGCCGCGATTGTTCGTTATTTCAAAGCCGCACTTCAGCTTTTGTCGGGGAGGGGCGGGCTGGGGGGGGGGGGGGGGCAGGCAGGGGGGCAGTAAAATAACCACCTATGGGGTGAACGGAGCTTCTGGCACCTATCCAGGTGATTCTCATCCTAAAGGTGACACTTTGCGTCACCTGGTGTTTTATTGCTCGGTGTGGTGTCCTGGTGGGATTAAAAGTCAATCAATTTTGATTAGTTAGACACTCCGGTACGCGCGCCTCGGATCGGAAGGTCGTGGGTTCGCTTCCTGGCGGAGACAGACTTTTCTTCAAAAATGACCTTGGCTCCCAGGTCGACCCAGCCTTGAGTGGGTACCGGGTGCAATCCCGGGAAGTAGAGGCGGCCGGCGTGATGCTGACCACATCACCCATCTAGTGCTGTTGGTCTATAAAAATATAGGTCTAGCCCTATATGCCCTATACGCCTAAAGGCGTGGAAAGGGTCCTTTACTTTTTTTTTTTAGACACTCCGGTCTTAACAAGCGGAGCAATTTTTCATTATCTTAAAAGACTAATCTAACCCAACAGATGAAAGGGGTTTCTGCAATTTTTCCCGAATGATCCTTATCCGTGTGGTGGCACTTTGTCACTTAGGACTCATAGTCTTTTTATCCACTCCATCCAATCATGTGCAATCCCGTTGATGCCAAGGATGGAATCCAGCCCAGCACCTTTGGTCTCTCTCGTCAACGTTCGTTGTGCGGTTTCTTTCGCTAATCCTAGCTAACGCAATCCTGTTTTCCCTTTTAGTACCTGTTTGGCGATTCTCTGCTGGTATCTTCTCAGGCTGTGCCCAAAACAGCGCCATCATTATTGTGTGTTTTATATGACTGACGTTAAAAGTGACTGCTCAGACACTTCTGTTATTTTTTCAGCCCACTTGAATCCATCAAAATTTTATGTTCAAAATTTTCTTTATGTGTTCATTTTCACAAGCATTAATCTTTCATTCAGGGCTTCTACAACTCTCACTGGCATATGTTAAAACTGAAATATCATTAAATTAAAAAAAAAAAAAAAAAAAAAAACCAACAACAACATGTGTTTGCTAAACTATGTTTGGAATTCTATAAAACCTGTTTCGAGTGTAGACACAATTTGTTTCTACTACAGGCCCACGCGACTGCACTCAAAGTTACTTCGCAACCGTAGTCGAGGGCCCTAATATAACCTTACGGTTGAACAGGGTTTCTTGGACTTCATCTGGGGGATTCTGGTCTGAGTAATGACGCACTGCACTTTGTGTCACAGTAAGCGGTCCTGATGGGTGTTCTTTTTCGCCAGCGCACCGAGTAAGCTAGTGTTTCTCCCCTCCCTCCCTCCTTGGACAGTGTACACTGTTGGCGTCTAATCCGCCCCTTTTTTCGCCCTCACCTGCGTGTTGGAGATATATAGGCTGACCATCATTTCATTGTAAAAGTTTTTTTTCGCCAGGGACACAGATGAGTATCATTTATTTTATACATTAGAGTCCTATGTAGTCACTTCATAGTTAGAGCATATTAGTGTATGTGTGCTTTATGTGCTGATGAAGGCTAATCGCCGCAACGTCCTTTCTTTGTTTATTGTGATCGATTTGGTAAAGCTAACATAAACTATTTGTTGTTTCTCACTAACTTTTTCTCTTCCCTATAATTGTCTACTCCTTTTAAAAACTCCTTGAGCCTAGAGCGTGGCGTCAGGCAGAGGTCATAGCTCTCCATGTCTGGCGAG